TTGAGTAGCTGGGGCTATGGTAGCAACCACCACCATACCCCCTCAGGCTGTTTCACCTGAGCTTAGCTGAAATTCTCACAATAGTAAGGATAGAAATAGATTTTCTCAGAAATATACATAGTATTGGCTTGGTCCTTAATTGGCTAGTAAGTATATTTAACTTTACAAAAGACCTTCTCCTCATTTATTGATGTGGACTAATCCAGCTGCCTGCACATTTGGACTCTTCCAACTATTCATAAGCTCCCGCATACTTTCAAACTGATGACTACACAACAGGCAGTCACAAAATTAAGCAAGCAGTTCAATATTCGCAGAAGTGATTTTGCTCTTCTTATCATGGCTGTGAACAGAATCAGCCGTTAGAGGCAGCCTGTGATTAGAAAATGGAACTCCATCATTATTAGGAGCATCATATGGTCATAGAATAAGCTTCTCACACCTCCATAAGTATATAAATTAGTTTCCTTTGTTTGGCAATTGGGAAGTCTGATTTCACAAATACATATTTTTCCGTTTATAAGATGAGTGAAAGTATAAGACGACCCCCCTTTTCTAACCCCAAATTAGAAAAGCAGGGATCAAAGGGCTCCCTTTTAGCTAAGCCCCATACCTTGGCAAAAGGCAAGGCAAGTGACTGCTGCTTTACCTTGTCTTTGTTACTTTGGCTGCTTGGAAGCTAGGACAGCCTAGTGACTACCATAGTTTTCTGTTTGTAAGACGACCCCAAATTAGAAAAATCAGGGATGAAATAGCTCCCCTTTTGCTAAGCCCTGTGCCTTGGCAAAAGGCAAGGCAAGCAGCTGTCAAAGTGACTGCTGCTTTACCTTGTATTTGGAGAAGGCACGGAGCTTAGCAAAAAGGAAGGGAGAAATGCCTCCCCTTCCTTTTTGCTAAAGCCCTGTGCCTTCACAAAAGGCAGTGGTAAAGAGCTGCCTTCTGTGTATAAAACAACCCTCAATTTGTTCTCAAATTATTTAAGGAAAAAGTGTCATTTTATACACAGAAAAATACGGTAGATAGTCTATAAATACTCATCAGGCCAAAACAAAAGAAAACAAAAATAAAATAA